TAGCAACAATAAAACTTAAAAAAATTATAATAATAAATTGGCAGTTGATCCAGTGAATTAGTTGCTTTGGACTTTGATATGCTTTTTTACAACACTTGTTTGTGAGTATTTATCTACTTTGGATTTAATAAAGCTATTATCTTCGGTAATGCACTAGACTGGTGCGCCCTCCCTTGTTCTTACAGCAATTTCCTTGGGTTTTTCCCAGACCCTTGGAAGACAGCAAGGTCTATGCTAACACTGGATACATTAAGGACCTGATAAGTTTCCATTATAGTACATCACTTTTGAGCGCAGGAGACTTTTCGTTTCTGCCTTTTCATGTTACAGATTTGCCCTGACAAGTCCATGCAGCTTCCACATATATTTTAGGATTTACACAATTAAGACTGTCTTTGAATCTATAAAAGAATAGACAAATTCTATTTGCTGAATGGTACGATGTGTGCTGGATAATGCATTTGTTGGCTGTGTAATAATGTAATCTACTTGTGTTTTAAACACGATTGCCTATATTTTACAGGTGCATTTTACACCATACTATAGTTACAGAGACACACAGCACAGAAGAAAGAAAGAAAAGGTTTGTAAGATCATCATTCATATGTGCACATCATATTGTAAAATTTTGTGGACACCTGATCTTCCCATCCATATGATCTTATTGTAAATTCCATTCCAGAAGTAGGGGCATTCATTATTATAGAGCCCCCCCTTTGCCCACAACTCTAACACCTGCCATTTTTCTACATTGGTTGTTACAAAAATGTGGAATGTGTCTCTAGGAATTGATGCTTATTCAGCCAAAAGAGCATTTTTGCTGCCGGTTACTGTGTTCAATGAGAAGACCTGGCTTGCTCCAGTTCCTCCATTCAGAGGATTGAGGGTAGGGTTGAGTCGCAGTAAGGTTGAGTTCTTGGCTCTGTTCCTTCACACCAAACTCATCAAACCATGTCTTTACAAAGCTAAATCTATGGACACGGCAGAGACCCTGGCATTGAAAACCACTACCTGACATCAGACATACTAGAACAGAAAAGGGCCTTCCCCAAACTTGCCAAATGTTTCGGGTGCAAAATTATCATTAAAATTAACAGAGCCCTTCACTGGAAACACCTTAACTCAATTACCAGTAGGGTTGAGTCCCAGTTGGGTTGAGGTCAGGGATCTGTTCAGCCACCAAATTTCCTCCAAAGCAAATTTATCAAACCTTTTTTTTACATAGAAGACCTGGCTTGCTCCAGTTCCTCCATTCAGAGGATTGAGGGTAGGGTTGAGCAAGGTTTATGCATCAGTCATACTGGAAGAGAAAAGAGCCTTCTCCAAACTTGCCAAAGGTTTGGGGTGCACAATTATCTAAAATATATCATTAACAGTACCCTTCACTGGATACGCTTGAACTCAATTTGGAGTATGTCAACATACATTTGGCTTTAAACCCCGGGTGCAGAGGCCAGGTATCCACAAATGTTTGGCTGTATAGTGGCTATAACAAAATGTATAGATAATGTAAATAAAGATCATGTAGCCCAATGGGGTCACCTGTGGTTCCCAAGATGGCGATCCTTTTTTCTCTCTGTTTATTTCCTGTTAGGCATGGCCCTGTAGGATAAATTCAGTTGGTGATAAGTACATTTGGTATTATTTGACAAATGCTCTATGCATAGCTGTTTTTTCTTTATAGCCTCTAGGCATCCAGCGTCTGGTGTCCAATGTAACAACCCTTTGCTAAAACAGTCATATACACTACACAGGGAATTTCTTGTTTTTTCTTGTCCTAATATTAAGCTATCATATTTACATGTAAATAATCTTATATTAAAAATATTAAACATATTTGCCTCTGCCAACCCTAGGCACATGTCTACTGAGCCTGTTGGTAAACCTGGCCCTTTGCTGAAACTAAACTTTAACATCACCCTCTCCACATGACTAAAATACTATAATTGCAATTTTTCGTCAAGCCAACTTTTAAATAAATTGTATTTATCATCCTAAAGAGGTAAAGAATAATTCAAATAGCTTGCCAATTGACAAGAAGGTATAACTTACCAATGTTGAGGAACAGCAGAAAACACATGAAGCCGGTGACCAGGGTCATGGGGGCATTCTCAGGAAAACATGGCATACTGGATCATCGGATAAAACACAGAGGTCCCTGTGTGTAAAATAGGTGTTATATTATAGGTGGTTCAGTCCAATCCCAATCTGATACTTCAGTTTTTGGTAGATATTGGACCATTAAAGCCCAAAAGCTAGGTTGCCACTTTAAAAAAAATCTTAATACAAACCTATTTCCCAAGTGTATTCAGTTTTTCTCTATAATATCATGAGTCCTCTTCACCCGCCTCTTCCTCTGGCAGCAGGTGGATTCTAAATGCTGCAGATTGTTCACTATGGTAGCACTCAGTGCAGCATTCTCCTATGAGTCCAGGTTGTTGGTGTTGGGGGGGGGGGGTCTTTAAAACACTTGGTGGGTTGAATGATTCTAGACGTCATTCAAACTGGAAAGGACAAGCATTGAATCTATTAAGTGGGTGTGTCTGCTAGGGGATCCATATTTGTGTTTCTTTGTCTAAACTGGAATTGGGCTTTAAAGGAAAGTAAAAGTTTGGTATAATTTTTCCTTTGCTTTTTAAAAAAATGTGGTATAATAAAAATGTATTACATAGCAAAGGATTTCCAGGAGTACTATGGTTGGCTTGTAGGCAGGTGCAGTCTACTTTCTCCACTGCAGGTGGCGCTCGACCAGAGTGGTTTATACTGTGAATGTGTTTATAAATGCCATCACACAGTCAAAGTCAAAAAGCCTGAAAAGTGTAGGGGGTATAGCTCAGTGGCAGAGTATTCAACTGCAGATCAAGAGATCCTTGGTTCAAATCTAGGTGTCACATCAGTGTTTTTCCCACACTTGTGCTAAAAGGAAAAGCTGGAAATCGGCCAATGTGTTTCTAAATGCTGTCACCAGGGGCGGACTGACCATTTGGAAACTTGGGCACTGTCTGAGGGCCCGGGCTCAGTAGGGGGCCCCATGAGATGGTACCTTTTTCATAGGCTTTTTTGAGTTTGGGCAAGGACACAGGGGCCCCATGATCCCCTATTGCCCAGGGGTCCCATGAGTTGTCAGTCCACCCCTGGCTGCCACGCAGGTTATAAAAAAAAAAAGTTAAAACGTGTGAAAGATGCAAGTATTTATAGCTCAGCGCCAGAGCATTTGATTACAGATCATTGGTCCAAATGTTGGTGCCCCTCGTTTTGCCCATCAAACACGTTGCCTTCAAACAAGTTTAAAAAAAAAAGTCTAGCAAACAAAAGGAAGGGGAGCTATAGCCCAATGGCTGAACTTTTAACTGTAGATCGTGAGGTCCTTGGTTCAAATCCTGGTGCCCCCCTCGGCACCAAGCTCACAATTGTGTTGGAGGCCAACTGTTTGTAAAAGTCAGTGTTTATAAATGCCATCAAAGAGGATTAAAAAAAGTCAAAATGCCTAAAGTATATGGGGAGATATAGCTCATTGCCAGAGCATACATTTGCAGATCAAAAGGTCCTCAGTTCAAATCCAGGTGCCACCCAAGCACCCCACCCACACCTGCGCAAAAGGGCAACTGGTTTGAAAAAAAAAAAAGCAAAACATTTGAAGAACACAAGCAGGTATATACAGTATATCTCAGTGGTCCTTGGTTCAAATCTAGATGCCCCCTCAGTGCTTTTCCCACACTTGTGCCAAAAGGGAAAGCTGGAAAGCAGCCAATGTTTTTCTAAATGCTAACATGCAGGTTATAAAAAAAAAAAAAAAAAAAAAGTAATAATGCTTTAAAGACACAAGTGGTTATAGCTCAGTGCCAGAGCATTTGACTACAGATTAAGAGGTCCTCAGTTTAAAATTCAGGTACCTCTCATTTTGCCCATCAAACAATTAAAAAAAAAGTCAAAATGTTTAGCAAACAAAAGGGGGGCTATAGCTCAATGGCTGAGCTTCTAATTGTAGATTGTGAAGTCCTTGGTTCAAATTTGGGTGCCCCCCTCAGTGTTTTGCCCACACTTGTGCTGAAAGCCAAGTGTTTTATAAAAGCCACCAAGGAGGATTAAAAAAAAAGGTCAAAATGTCTTAGGTAGATGGGGGATATAGCTCAGTGCCAGAGGATACACTTGCAGATCAATCAGTCCTCAGTTCAAATCCGGGTGCCCCCCTAGGCACCCTGCCCACACCTGTGCACCTGACCATTTGGAAACTCGGGCCCTGCCCGAGGGCCCGGGGTCAGTAGGGGGTCCCATGAGATGCCCCTGGTACCTTTTTCATAGGCTTTTTTGAGTTTGGGCAAGGACACAGGGGCCCCATGATCCCCTATTGCCCGGGGGGCCCCATGAGTTGTCAGTCCGCCCCTGGCAAAGGGGTAACAGGCTTGAAAAAAAAAAAGGCAAAACATCTGAAGAACATGAGCAGGTATATCTCAGTGGTCCTCAAATCTAGGTGCCTCTTTGGCATTTTACCTGCAGGTGTACTGAAGGAGGGAGTTAGTAAATGAATTGATAAATGCCAACAGGTTTAAAAATGTAGTAGGTGTGATGGCGAATAATCCTCCTGCACCATAGATAGATGAGTAAAATGGGTTTCCAGATAATCAACAAAAAGAACTGGACTGGACTGAACACAGTATTGAGCCCCCCTATGTGTGTCACAAGGCTTTGTATCCAATGCTGACTGAAGATTCTCTTTAACTACATCATTCTGGTGGAAAGATAAGCCATCAGTCATCTCTAACCAGAATCAATTTCCTTTAGCTCAAAGCAAGACATCTTCTTCTCCATGGCAATCAAATACACTGCCTCCTTTCATCCAGTGCGACACAAATAAATTAGACCACCATTTGACCTGTCTTAGCCCACCTCCCAAGCCCTACATAACAGGTTCACTTTGTTCTTTGTCTTTTCATATTGTGACCTATGATAATAAGTTCATGAGAAGATGCAAGACTGATAAATATTAAAGTATTACTAAACCCCGGACCCTGCATTCACTATATCTGGTCTCCCAGGACCCTGCATTCACTATATCCGGTCTCCCCGGACCCTGCATTCACTATATCCGGTCTCCCCGGACCCTGCATTCACTATATCCGGTCTTCCCGGACCCTGCATTCACTATATCCGGTCTCCCCGGACCCTGCATTCACTATATCCGATGTCCCCCGGACCCTGCATTCACTATATCCGGTCTCCCCGGACCCTGCATTCACTATATCCGGTCTCCCCGGACCTGCATTCACTATATCCGGTCTCCCCGGACCCTGCATTCACTATATCTGGCCCGGTCCCTGCATTCACTATATCTGATCTCCCCGGACCTTGCATTCACTATATCTGGTCTCCCCGGGACCCCGCATTCACTATATCTGGTCTCCCCAAACCCTGCATTCACTATATCTGGTCTCCCCGGGGACCCTGCATTCACTATATCTGGTCTCCCACAGTACATAGAACATGGAAATACAATTACTTTAGTAAATATAAACTACTAAATACCTTTTCTCATCAGCAGTTAGAGCAGTCTTGTGACTTCTATCAGTGTTCAGCCATGTTAAGCTTGTAGGAGGACACAGAACCCCTGACCTCTGTCAGAACAGTGCTGATTGGCCCTGCGCTGATACATACACTCCCCCAAGAGGTCTCTCTAGCGATACACACCAAACTGAGCATGTGCATGTGGTTATGGGTTCAGTCTATATTATCAGGAGATAAGACATGGACATTTGAACAAGAGGAGAGGCAGAGAAAACAGGATCAGGCTGATAACAAAACATTTTTTCCAGTAAAATGTTATTTATTACAGGCATGGTTACTAAACCCCGGATCCTGCATTCACTATATCTGGTCTCCCACAGTACACACAACATGGAAATGCAAATTATTTATTAAATATAAACTGCTAAATTAATTTTCTCATCAGCAGTATTTAGCAGTCTTGTGACTTCTATCAGTGTCCAGCTGAGCACAGGTTAAAGCTTGTAGGAGTTTTCATTCTGCTCTGACTATCCTATGAGGCTGCATGACCCCTGATCCTCTGTCTGGACTGTGCTGATTGGCCCAGTCTGATCACATGCATTCTCCCCCAAAAAAACCTCCCTAGCAATACACACACAAACTGAGCATGTGCAGAGTGTCTCTTACAGCTCTGTACTATCAGCAGATGGATTCGGGAACGTAATGAAGGGAAGGATCAGAGAAGACAGGATCAAACAGCTTTTTATACACAATGCAGAGGCTTAACCCCTTAGGTTCCACAGTGAGTATAACAAGCATGATTTACTGAATATACAGACTGATTGTACTGTGGTGGGTTTAGTAACACTTTAAAAAGATGTGTTATGCTTGTGCACAATATTAATATTAGTCAGTAGGAGTAGTAGCAGCAGTAGTAGTACAATAGTAGTAGTAGTAGAAGTAACAGTAGTAATAGTATCAGTGGCAGTTGACAATGGTAATAATATTAGTGGTAGTCAGAGTAACAGCATTATTATCAGTTAGTAGTATTGTAGGTGGTGGTAGTAGTAGTAAACATTTGTATCAGTAGCACTAGTAAAAGTATTAGTAGCTATAGTAGCAATAGTGGGGTAGCGGTAATAGTACTGTTTGTTGTAGTAGCACCAGCCATTGCTGTAGCAGTAGTACAGTTGCAAGAAAAAGTATGTGAACCCCTTGGGATTACGTGGAGTTTTGCATGAATTGGGCATAAAATGTGCTCTGAACGTCATCTAAGTCACAGCAATAGAAGAATACAGTCTGCTGAACATAATGCTACACAAACATTAGATGTTGCCCGTGGTTTAATTGCACATAACATGTAAACATTCACAGTGCAGGGAGGAAAAAAGTATGTGAAATTTGGACTTAATAACTGGTTGACCCTCCTTTGGCAGCAATAACCTCAACCAAACGTTTCCTGTAGTTGCAGATCAGACCTGCACAACGATCTGGAGTCATTTTGGACCACTCCTCTTCACAAAACTGTTTCAGTGTAGCAATATTCTTGGGATGTCTGGTGTGAATCGCTCTCTTAAGGTCATGCCACAGCATTGCAATCGGGTTGAGGACAGGACTCTGACTGGGCCAATCCAGAAGGCGTATTCTGTGCTGTTGCAGCCATTGTTTTGTTGAATTACTTGTATGCTTTGTGTCATTGTCCTGTTGCATCACCCATCCTCTGCGGAGCTTCAGTTGGCGGACAGATGGTCGTACGTTTTCCTGCAAAATGTCTTGATAAACTCTGGAATTCATTTTCTCATCAATGACAACAATCCGTCCAGGCCCTGAGGCAGCAAAGCAGCCCCAAACCATGATGCTCCCTCCGCCATGTTTTACAGTGGGGATGAGGTTTTGATGTTGGTGTGCTGTGCCTTTTTTTCTCCACACATAGTGTTGTGTGTTCTTCCCAAACAACTCATCTTGGTTTCATCTGTCCACAGTATATTTTGCCAGTAGTGCTGTGGAACTTCCAGTGCTCTTTTGCAAACTTCAAACGTGCTGCAATATTCTTTTTGGACAGCAATGGCTTCCTCCGTGGTGTCCCTTGTTCCATGTACTCCATTCTTGTTTAATGTTTTCCTTATTGTAGATGTGTCAACAAAAATGTTAGCATGTGCCAGAGATTTCTGTAGGTCTTTAGCTGACACTCTGGGATTCTTCTTTACCTCATGCAGCATTCTGCGCTGTGCTCTTGCAGTCATTTTTACAGGACGACCACGCCTAGGGAGAGTAGCAACAGTGCTAAACTTTCTCCATTTGTAGACAGTCTGTCTTACCGTGGACACATGAACATCAAGGCTTTTGGAGATACTTTTGTAACCCTTTCCAGCTTCATGCAAGTCAACAATTCTTGATCGTAGGTCTTCTGAGAGCTCTTTTCTGCAAGGCATGGTTCACATCAGACAGTGCTTCTTGAAACCAGTATACCCAAAACAGGTGTGTGTTTTTTTAAGGGTAGGACAGCTGTCAGCACACATCCAATATCATCACACTGATTGGAGTCAAGGTTGGCTCACTCCTGGCTCCAATTAGCTCTGGGAGAAGTCATTAAGCTAGGGCCTCACATACTTTTTCCTCCCTGCACTGTGAATGTTTACATGTTATGTGCAATTAAACCATGGCAACATCTAATGTTTGTGTAGTATTATGTTCAGCAGACTGTGTTCTTCTATTTTTGTGACTTAGATTATGTTCAGAGCAGCATTTTATGCCCATTCATGCAAAACTCCACGTAATCCCAAGGGGTTCACATACTTTTTTCTTGCAACTGTAGTTTTAGTAGTAACAGTAGAACTATGAATAGTAGTAGTATTAGTGACATTAAAAATGTAGTAGTAGTAGCAATAATAGGAGTAGTGGTAGTAGTAGCATTAGTATCAGTAGCACTAGTAAAAGCAGCTTTAGTAGCTATAGTAGAAGTAGTAATAGCACTATTTGTGGCAGTAGCACCAGTCATTGCAGTAGTAGCAACTGTAGTTGTACTAGTAGTAGCAGTGGTAATAATATTTATGGTAGTCAGATTAATAGTATTATTGTTATTATTATTATTCATGGTAGTGGGTAATGGTGGTTGAGGTGGTCGTTGAACTGGTAATAGTGGTTTTAGTAGCAAGCAACAGTAGGACTAGTAATGGTAGTAGTAGTAGTAGAAATGTAGCAATAATATCTGTATTTGTAGTAGCAATGGTAGCAGTAGTATCAGCACTTGTAATAGTTGCAGTAGTAGTAGTATTAATAGCATTAGTAGAAGTAGAAGCATCATTATTAGCAGCACTAGTTCTAGCAGTAGCAATAGAAGTAGCAGCACTACTAACAGTACTATACTAGCAACACTAGTAATAGTAGCAATATATTAGTACTAGCAGCAAGACACAGGTATACAGCTCCACACACAATTATTTGGCGATGCATGCTCCAAGAATAATCTTATACTTCACATACAGTCATGGCCAAAAATATTGTCCCCCCTGCATTTCTGGCAGATAATGCACCACTTCACCCAGAAAATTGTTACATTACAAATGTTTCAGCATTCTCATGTCTATTTCTTTTGTTTGTATTGGTATGACACAATTAACCACATGCCGCCCAGTCACTGTAGAAATACGGTGGCAGGGCGGCACGGCTGGGCAAAACCACGTTTTAAAACGTGTGCTTTTAAAACAGGTAGGGCGCACGAGGCATGCCGCTGCCCTACCTGTCCCACCGATCACGGCCGTGGATGTCAGTCGCCGGGTCACAGCTGGTTGATACCGGCTATGTCCCGGTGATTAGCGGCAATCAGTGACAGAGAGCAGGGCTGCAGTAGCTGTGCTTTCTGTCAGTTCCCTGACAGCTCCAGGACACGCTGATCGGGACAGAAGAGTTTATCTCTCCCGATCAGCGGTGTTCCCTGCAGTACACACCCCCGCCCCCTAGTAAAACACTCCCCCTCACACAGTTAACTCTTTCCCTGAATAATAAATTTATCCCTTCCTCCCCAGTGCCATTAGTACAGTGTCAGTGTTTTTTTTTTTTGCACTGATCACTGTATTGGTGTCACTGGGGATGTCAGTGACCCCAAGTCAGTTTCCCCCCAGTGTCAGAATGTCCGCCGCAGTCCCGCCATAAGTCACTGATCGCCGCCATTATTAGTATAAAAAAAATTTAAATATCCCAGTATCTTTCCCGCCATTTATAAACGCTATAACTTTCACGTAAACCAATTAATTTACACGTATTGGGGTTTTTTTTTAGCAAAGACATGTCGCAGAATACATTTTGGCAGAAATTTATGACTAAATTTGATTTTTAAATTTTTTTTTACTGGACATGTTTTATAGTAAGTCAGCCTTTTTTGTTTGTAGCGCAAAAATAAAAACTGCACAGGCGATCAAATACCACCAAAAGAAAGCTCAATTTGTGGGAAAAAAGGATGTAAATTTCATTTATGTACCGTATTGCATGACCGCGCAATTGTCCGTTAAACTAGCGCAGCGCTGTATAGCAAAAAATGGCGTAAATTGCAGTATTTATACCATAGTTTGTAGACGCTATAACTTTGACACAAAGCAATCAATATACACTTATTGGGATTTTTTTACCAATAACATGGAGCAGAATACATTTTGGCCTAAATTTATAACTAACTTTGAGTTTACTATATATTTTTTTATAGCTGAAAGTAAAAAATATTGTTTTTCTTCAAAATTTTTTTTTTTTTTTGTTTATAGTGTGAAAAATAAAAAGCGCACAGGTGATCAAATACCACCGAAAGAAAGCTCAATTTGTGTGAAAAAAAGGACGTAAATTTCGTTTGGAAGCAGCATTGCATGACCGCGCAATTATCAGTTGAATTAGTGCAGCACCGAGTAGCAAAAAGAGGCCTGGTCATTAAGGGGGGTAAATCCTCAGGAGGGCAAGTCGTTAAATGAAGAAACAAAAAGCCAAATCTGACACATTCCACTCAAAACCCCCAAAATGGACTGGACAAAATTATTGGCACCTATCAAAATTA